CAAAATAGTAAAAATTTAATAAGCCCAAAAAAATATTTGTTAAAATTTCACTTTTATACCCCACGTGTTATAAAACTTTAAAATTGCTACACAAATTTCTAAATTAATAATATCACAAGTGTGAACTAATAAAATTCTCTTCATAACAAATCACAATATCACAATAGGAATAAAATATCACAAAATAAATAAATAATAATGTTACTAAAAGAGAATTAATGCTAAAATGTAAAATGCTAAATTGGATAACAAAGTGTCTTCTGGAAGTTCTAGCATTAAAAGAAAAAAAAAACACTAAAAAATAGAGGCTAAATGAATTATTTTAAAAAGTATACTACCTCTTAAAATGACTAAAAATTTGAAATTTCTAAACTTGGCCAAAATGAGTCTTCAACAGAATCCCTATACAATCTAAAACTAAGTAATAATTCATTGAACTAAGTAACTAAGCTGTAAAATGTTTTTCCAATAATTACTTAGTTTAATAGATATATCTTCATATATAGTGATTCTTTTCTTTAGTTATGACACCTGGTGAGTCCAACTGATGAATATATACTCTTATTGACCAAGTTTGATGCTTTAAAATTTGATGCCCATTCTAAGAGGTAATATACCTTTAAATGATGTATTCTAGCATGTGTAATACAGTCTATTATGCGGCAGTAAAATTCTATAAAAACTAGTAAAAATGCATCAAAATATCATATGAACATTAGTACAATTAGAAATGAAAATGGAATTTTACATCCTACTTATTTGCTCCCATTTGAGCTAATAAAGATGACAACGCCATGCAGTATGCAATGAGAGGAATTTATGAGGACAGTGTCTGCAGTAATGAGTCTGTTGGTTTTATTTGATGATGTTAAAGCAAAAATTAGACAGGTATATCCCTTTATATCAAAAATAGTGCTGAGGTCTCAAACTTTAATTAAGTGAAAAATAAATACAGTACAACAGTCAATAATATTTCAGGTACGACTTCATTTCAAATGGGAAATGTGTTCATATAAAATGTAAACTTACCAAAAAAGAGTTATATTTTCATCAACATAAAGTCAGTACTTTTGTCGTGCCAGTAACAATAAATTTGCTAAGCCACCTTACTAGATAGCTGATATTCCAATTCATATAAAACTTTTCAGTAAAATTTGAATTACCAACGAAAGTAAATCCATGATAATTTTTGACCTTGTACTTGGTTTGAAGTCGTTCCTGAACAATTTCAACAAAGCTACCAAATCAAAGGACCCAGAAAATTAAAATAACGAAAG